AACTTCTTCTGTCCTTCTACCAAGCACAACTTGTGGTTGTACAAATATGTAGTTCTGCCTTGCGATTAAAGTTATTTAGTGCAGTGAACATGAGAAGATCGTAATTTGGAAATTTTCTGTCCTGTCGTATTAGTCGGTGTAATTGAAAGGGTGAAAAGGTAATTAGTTATTAAATTTTTTTAATCATTGTGGCACGTCTGATTCACATAACAACCGCATTGTTTCAAGACATCAATTATTGATACGCGACAAGGTGAATTGATTGATTATCATTAAATAAATAAAACGTGTACACTACCGTTTGCATCAGTTTTTAGAAGCATGAATTACTTTTAACACCAAAAGTAATTTCACTTTTAATACCAGGTTCATAAAGTGACACTTTTAGCATTTCATTACAGACGTCAAAAAGGCTACTTTTAATAGTGTTTGTATAAAAATGACTTTTTTTTAATTCGAAGTCAAATTCCGCCAGTCGATTAGGTTATCAAATTATACTGTTATTCTGGATATTTGTTTTTTTTTTCTGTAATCGTGGAAGATCTTCAATCAAACGTCTTGACTGAGCATGTTTATGGTTCTTTAGATCACAGTATGGCATTAATTTGATAAAAATTTATTCAAATTTGATGTCAGATTTATTAAAAAACTATCAGTAGAAAATGTGTAAAATTTAAAATTTATTTTGCCCGTTATTGTACATAAATTAAAATCTCCGGAATTGTTTCAGCAATTTCCTTACAAACATGGTGTCGAAATTACACAACTCGTTGCAGGGCTACGACAGTGATGAACATATATATGAAGAAATTCAGGAAAGAGGTACGTGGAAAATAACTAAAACAGAAAAAGATTATATTTTTGTGACTGGGTGCTTCAAAATCTACTCAGCAATCAAATAACCTTTCGAAATCGCTAGTTTGGCACAAAATCAGACAATTTACATGTGATAGATCTTTAAAAGTGATTTCATAAATCCGACACTGTTCTAATAGTTTTAATTTATTATAATATTATATATTATTATGCACTTATTCCAAATTTTATTTACACAATTAAAACCGTCGTGAACTGTTGAATATTACGCATCCTCATGTTGAAAATGGACAAATTTACCTTCTAAATAGTTAAGCTTTATTTTTAGAACATATTTAACTTGGTTTTGCATATCGTTTTCAGATCGCTCAAAAAAGAAGTCAGGAAGAAAGTTAATTAAACACTTCTGTTTTCTATACTTCAAAAAAACTGCCCGTTGAGCTGAAAATTGTTCTATTTAGAGACAGTTGTTGATTGACTACGTTGTAACTTATGATGAATCAATAATTAATACTTCTTCTAGATGAATAACCTTTGTTGTTTTATATATCTACAATGTTTCTAAAACTATGAATAGTGAGTTTAATGTTTTTATTTATTGTTCCAGTTCCACACTCGGTTTAAGTAATTTTATATATACGTTGATGATTATAAATTTATAAACGAAGAGTTTCAATATTTTGTGTTAAGTTTGGCATATTCGTGGTGTTATTTCATTGCTTGGTATTTAGGATTTTATTGCAAAACTTAAATGTAATGATTATTGAAACACAAGATGGCAAATTTTCTGCTTTTATAATATATCCCAACCCCTTTATGACTGAAGGTTACGTATTCCTCGTGAATTGTTGATAAATTTAATTCAAATATTTTAGGCCTATAATTTGAACCTAGTTTCAAATTTATAGTGCAGTCTTTTATTTAAAAGTTTTACACTTTAGTTGCATTTTTACTCCCTGAGCCTAAAGCTAAGGCAATATTGACCTTTAAAGTACGAAAAAATGAGTCTCCAATTTCCGTTTGTCTGTCTGTTTCTATATCTGTCCGCCATCCGTGACGATTTTTGATAGAGAGATAATCTCCGAAACTACCCGATCGACTTTTGCCAAATTTTATATGTGTATTACGAATATCATGTGTAGAACACTAACCAAACTTTGTCTAATCATTTCTACCAACAATGTGATGAAGTCACCTCAAAATTGTACATAGTAAATGGGTTTTAGATTGTATCAAATAACGTGTAGTTTATGAAACCGTGTTAAGTTTTTACTCGAAACATCAGATTTTTGGAAAAAAATCAAAATCATGTAACAACATTTTGCAATTTACTTGTAATTTATCATTCTACTCATGAATAAATCAATTTATTTTATTGAATAATTCAGGAACTGAGAAACCGAATGCTTTGAAATCTAGTAACCGTTTTAAGGTTATCGTAATCATGATTAATGATGATTTAATAACTCGTTAATCAAAATGTATCCATTTATCTGCTACCAAAAAATGCATGACGTCAACTCAAAATTTTGTCGAGCAAATTCCTCCTTAAATTATGCAAAATATTATCACTGCATACTTGTGATTTATCACTGCCTTCCTATTTTATAGATTTGCTTTTATACGTCGCTCAAAAAAAAATCATGAATGAATCAATTTATTTTATTGACAAACAAAAAACAACTCATTCAATTGACCTTGGGATGGATATGGGTGGGACTTAATTTTTAGCTTGTTTTTTTTTTTTGTTAATATACATAGCATTCTTTGAACAACACGATATTCAAAAACATGTTTTTTATTTCTTGTGGAGAAATAGGGGTTTTGCAATTAAGTTCCGCCCCCTTGGCTCACGACCAATAAAAAAATCATCACAATTGAGATGTCGCAGGTAGGCGAGGCTTACATTTTGCCTTTTTTTTTAATATGCGTAGTCATCTTTTCACAACAAGAAACTTAAAACTGTTTAAAATGGTAAATTTGTATAGTGAAATATCGATTTTCGAATTACCCTCCGCCCCTCGGTCTGCTAACCAATGAAAAATTCATCACGATTGAGATCGAGCTGGATGGGTGGTTTTCTCTTATAACTAATACTTTTAGTTTTCTTTGTACAACACGATTACATAAGAACATATTTCACATGGTAATTTCTCGTAAAAAAATAAAAATTTTACAATTATAAGCTCCGCCCTTCGGCTTAGGACGAATAAAAAAAAAATCATCAGAATTGGGTGGGCGGGGTTTATATTTTGTCTTTTTTTTCTTAATATACGTAGCCATCTTTTCACAACAAGAAACTTAGAACCTGGTTAAAATGATACATTTTTGTAAGGAAATATGGATTTTGCATTTATGGGGCGGAGAACATGTTTTAAGTTGTGAAAAGAAGTCTACAGATATTCAAACAAAAAGGCAAAATGTAAGCCCGCCTAACCGCCCTCTCTCAAAATACTTATTTCTTTACAAGAAATTAAAAACATGTTTTTGAGTATCGTGTTGTTCAAAGAATACTATGTATATTAAGAAAAAAAGGGAAAGTATAAACCCCACCCACCCAGCCCACCACAATTGTGATGATTTTTTTAATCTTAGAAACTTAAAACACGTTTAAAATGGTAAATTTTTGTGAAGAAATATGGATTTTGCAATTAGGCTCCGCCCCTAGGTCTGCTAACGAATGAAAACTTCACTACTATTTAGATCAATGGCAGGTATGGGCGGAGCTTATCTTTGCCTTTAATTTTTTCTTAATATACACAGTATTGTTAGAATAACATCATACTCAATAACATGTCTTATATGGTAAGTTCTTGTAGAGAAATACTAAGGATTTTGCAATTAAATTCCACTCCTTTGGCTCTCGACAATTAAAAAAACATCACAATTGAGATAGGGTGGGTGGGACGAGCTTATATTTTGCCTATTTTCTTGAATACGTAGTTGTCTTTTCAGAACAAGAAACTTAAAAATATTTAAAATGGTAAATTCTTGTAGACATAGTGGATCTTGCAAATAAGTCCCGCCCTTAGATCTGACAACGAATGAAAAATTCATCACAATTGAGAATTAAGATTGGGTCGGGTATCGGTGGGGCCTAATCTTTGGCTTTACTTTTTTCTTCATATACATAATATCCTTTGAACCACACGATACTCAAAAACATATTTTTAATTTCGCCTAGAGAAATAAGGATTTTGCACTTAAGCTCCGCCTTCTTGGCTCACGACGAATAAAAAATAAGTATATTACAATTGAGATAGGGCGAATGGGCGGGGCTACATTTTGCCTGTTTTTAATATCTCTAGAAAAAGATGCACTGTATAAACTGTTTCATAAAGAAAAATACTTGTAAAGTTCATTGTCTAATAAAATCGCCAACAGATCACAGACGACATACAAGCGACAGACAGACGAAAGCAGGTGACTTCCTTTTTCATACACTAGCTGATGTTACGAAATGTCGAGAAAACATGAAATTAGGCGTTCACCGAGAACACACTACGGTAATTCTTCTCTGGTTACCATCGGGAAGTAAAAGCAGAACTTTGGTGTGTAACCTTTAAATAGAACATCCTGTATACTTGAAAATAATTGTAAATTGTTCCTCTACTGAGTTCAGTTAGACTGCGTCAAAGAATATTTTCAATTCTAGTCCACTAGAATAATTGTGTTTTTACAAACAAAAGAAGTTTTGCATATATTGATTATATTTGATATGAAAAGCATATCGAGATAAATCCAAGTATCGAGATTATGCAAGTGCTATTGTTTCTATCAATAAGGAAACTGATCGTTGAGATACAAGATTTTTTTATTTTAGTTTTGTATGTAGGACAGCATATATTTTATTTACATGTTTCCTATCAAAAAATTATGAAGTACCACTTATTTTTGTATATCACTATAATCACTTTTATATTTAAACACGTTGTTTCAATGTGGCTGTGCGTGACGTATATAAAACATATTCTTGATCTTTGACGCCACGTTGATAATAATCATGTCGTAAGTTTGACGAAGCATACACAACCAAACAAATAAACACTTGATACGGCTCATGACTCATGAGCATTATAATGATTAACGAGCGATACAAAAACTCTCTAGTTACTTGTTGATTGTCTTTTGCAACTAAAACGTATGTATGCATTTGCATCAACACTTTATAGGTATTTAAAGAAGTGAGATTATAACGAAGTAAAGTTATGCAAATTTGCATTTTAGTCCAGATGTGTAACTATAATTGACAAGTTAACTCCATGAACAATATGGAGTAAATTTTTTTTGTTGTAATGGACCATCTAAATATTCTAAAAATATCAGAAAAACACACCAACTTTTTGAGGATGAAGTGGACCTTCAATAAAAAAGTCACATAATGAATCCGACACTAGTTTAGTTCTGAAAAGGACAGTTATTTTTCAAACAATAACGCAAAACCGAAAAAGCACAAACAATTGCACGAAAGACGGATATTCAAACGATAGATGTAATAGAAGACAATGAATCTGCTCATATTTGGTGATTCTCTTAAACCTGTATCCCGCAAAAAGACGATCAACTAGTAACCAGAATTTTTTTTATTTCTTGTGGTATGACGTTGACGAAATAGATTTTTCAAACAACAAAGGTATTTTGATCACTTTTAAAACCTGTAAGCCTTTTAATGTAATTACATTTTTACAATTATGCTAATCAATAATGTTATCACATTTTTAGATGCTCTTCACCCGTCTCTACTCCATCAAGCGGCCCTCGAAGGGAAGCATGTTAAGGTTCTCTTTTTTATTAACATGGGCCACGATATCAACTCTAAAACAACCAATAACGAGACCGCCCTTTACTTGGCTTCGCAAAAAGGGCGCATCGAATGTGTCCAACTGCTGTTATCATTTGGTGCTGACACATCAATCCCTGACAAAAAAGGGTGTACACCACTTCACGTAGCTTGCTTATACGGACAAGTCGAAGTAGTCAAAATGTTGCTTAACCACGGTGTCAACATGCAGATCTGTGACTCTAACGGATGGACACCAATTCACGTCGCTGCTTCCAGAGGTCGCAGGAAAATAGTCGAATTATTAGTATCATCTGGAGTCAGTACTGAACTAAGAGATAGTGATGGTTTAACACCCCTGCACATAGCTTGTCTAAACGGAAAAAATAATGTAGCTCGTTTGTTAATCTCGCTAGGAGCTAATTTTAATGCTGTTGAAGAACAAGGCTGGACACCGTTACACCTGGCATGTGAGGAAGGTTGCGTGGAGGTGGTTGAGACCTTACTAAAATCTAAATCAAACGTAAATGCAGCTGAATCCGAAAACTGGACACCCCTACATCTTGCTTGCCAAAACGGACATGAAGATATCGTTAGGTTGTTGATAAAAGGAGGAGCTGATGTGAATGCTGTTGAGGACACTTCGTCAACACCTCTTCACTTAGCATGCAGACAAGATTCTATTATAATCGTTGAAGATTTGTTTAGAGCTGGAGCAAACATTTTTGCCCGTGACATGTTAAAAGAAACACCGCTGGAGATTGCTGGCGAGCGAGGTCATAAAAGTATTGTTGATTTTCTGAATGCAGTGGCTGTAGGAAACAAGGTTTTATTGAAACCTCTTTCCCTAACACATCAAAGTAATACGTTGACATCCGACGATAATCTCAATATCGGAAATATAAATAAACGCGAATCTTCATTTGTGACAAACAATGCTCACTGTAAAATATTTAATATATCCACTGAATATGAAAATGTTATAAACACTTCGAAGGAAGCGGGTAATTCTCCAAATTACGTACATTCCCAACTAGTAATGCCACACCAAAGTACTAAAGATATCGACAATCCTGGCGGCGATCATGACAAAATCATTTCACTTCACCAAGCCTGTAGAGAAGGAAATGAAAAAATCGTGCAAACACTAGCTAAGAGAGGCGTTGACTTAAATGTGGCTGATGAAAATGGTAACACACCTCTGATACTTGCCGCACGACATGGGAAAGTTAAAATAGTAGAAATTTTGATAAATTTCAAAGCAAATCTTGAGATCAGCAACAAGGAAGGCATTACCGCACTTTATGCAGCTTCTTACCATGGGCACAAAGATGTCGTCGGTGTGTTGTTGCAAAACGGGGCAGCAATTGAAGCTGGCTTAAGAAATGGGTGGAAATCAATACATATTGCTGCGTATAATGGGCACAAAGAAATCGTTGAAATTCTTGTGAAATGCGGTGCGAACATTGATGCGTTGACACATGGAAACGCTAAACCTTTAGATTTAGCACGTTTTCAGAAGCATGGAGATATTGTTTACTTTTTATATATTAAGCAAAAAGAGAAGCACAATTATAATTGTCCGTGTACAATACAGTGACCGTTTTGAATTATGGGGTAATGCGTGAAGGTATAATTGTAATAGACGAATGACAGATACGTTTTTTTCAGTTTAGTAATGCATACTAGTAGATCTAACTCGAAAGTAAATAATATTTTTGTATTTTATAAGTTTGTAATGTAAATAAATTCTAGAAATTTTAAATGAGTTTGAAGTTTAGTAGTTTTCGAAGGAAAAAATCAAACTTTGGATTTTTGATTAAGATTATGGTCAACGAGGTACAATAAAAGCGTTGTGGTTTTTAAACATCTAAGCGAAGTAAGCGAAGAAAAATGTTGCTGCCCCGCTTGCCGGGTTGGTGTCCTAACCACTAGACCACGGAGCGGCTTATCTTTCTCCACTTACTATTTATTATTGTGTCGCCATACATCTAATAAAACTACGAAACCCACAGAGAACAAAGATAAATTAATTGTATTCATTGCTTTAGAGGACTTGAGAGAAATAACAATTGGACTATAGAATTTAGACAGAAGTTTCCCTGTCATCTGCAACGTAAGCTCTATCGCGTGCACGTTGGGGTGCCTTCTCTCATAAAACTTTTCGTTATGCAGGTTATCACTTTCGTGAAGCTACAAATTTGAATTTTCTACCGTATAAGTAAAGTCGGAAAACATTAACTGACCATACGATTGCAAGAAGCTCCTTTCGGTGGTACTGTAACTGAATTCGGCATTTTTTGTAATAGAGTAGAAATAATCAGCCTACCAGAAGTTTGATTGAAATCTGGGAGTAGTAAAATTATGTCATTCTTTAAAATGTTTTTCAATTCTTCAAAAGTTAATTGTTGAGATGAAGTTTAACTAAAAGTAACATCCTTTTTGTGAAAATCATTTTTCCAACAGAGCTAAATTTCGCAATGAAACGTCTGCAATATTCTGGTAGTCTTAAGAACATTTTAATTTGCTTCACCTTAGTTGGAACAGGAAAATCTTGAACAGCTTGAACCTTTATCAATAACTAAGTAACTTAGATAACTGTATTCATTAGTTTTAGAAAACAAGCAGGAGCACCTTTTAAACCCATTGGTAATTGTTTATACTGATAATGACCAAAAGGGGTACTGAATGCAGTTTTTTCTGCATAGGGTCCGTGGGAATCTGATGAAAATCAGAAGCAAGGTCAAGCACACTAAAATATCGACTTCTACCAAATTGGTCGAAAATGTCGTTAATATACATATTTATTAACAATAATCTATAACAATTCTAAATTTCTTTTTTAGCAATTAAAAGAATTAAGAAATTCCAAGCACTCGCGCTGAATTCAATTACACTCTGTTCTAGCATTGTATTACTGTTTGAGTTTCAACAGAATTATTACAATAAAGAAAAATATTTATCGTCTAGACTGTAGAATGCTTTGTTAAAAGTATCGGGTAAGAACTTTTGCACAAATCTGAAGCCGGGTCTGTTAGCCTGCAATCTTCGAACGCGTGCAAATGATTTCCGGGAGTAAGGGACGCGTCCGAAAAGCACCCCACTATTAGTGGTCAAGAACTGTACTGCTGCCATATAAGCTTAGAAGTTATGTTTTACTACAACTGATTGTTAATTTCACCTTGCTGAGAATAGGGCAGCCGATAAGGTTTGACCTTAATTCGAGTTAGTATTAGTGACATGGGAATGGTGTGACTACCGATGGTTGCTTGTGATAACAGCTCTGAAGTAAATAAGTCCAAATAGTCGGAGCAAATATTTCTTATCTGCATTTGTTCCTCTGAATGTAATTGATCCAAGCGCAAATTTTCCATGAACTTTTGTTTCCTTGTAATTAAATTATGATGATTATTGATTATTATGGAAATTATTGTTAATATCAAAAGGAAAACTATTACACAAACTGAGACGATTCACTTCTAAACTTAAATCATTATTTTTAATTTCTTCACCAACATTTAAAACTGAATTTTCGTGTTTATTGTGAATTATGATTTTAAAACACAGGTAATCAGCATTTACGTTAGATTTGAAAACTTTTTCACATTTGGATAGTACAATAAATTTTATTTTTATTTTATTTTATTTTGATTACGTTCCCCTACGTGGCCCAATTACAGGGGAACGGGGGGGTTTACACAACACCCAGAGCCGGGCGGGAATCGAACCCACGACCCAAGGTGTAGCGGGTCCTCATTTACTCATTTACTACCAGTGGCGGCTCGTCAGATGAAGCAAGTGAGGCGGCGCCTCACAGCATATATCTTAAGCACAGATTGACTTAATTTGTAATTAAAAAAGAGCTTTCAATGCATTTTTAGTTACAAAAATATGTTGAAATGGCAAATCTGTAGACGATTTTTTATTTTTTACGCTTTCTGTTGACATTTTTGGATGAATACCCAACGATTTATGCTCCTAGTTCTTTAACTGAAGCGGCCAGAACGTCGGTTCACTTGAACCAACGAAGCCCAATCACAGACACGGACTTCTATGTCTCAGCTCCTATACTCCTATACATGCGTTCGCTCGGAACTGAGGCGATGTCTTCGGTGCTTTTCGGTCATTTTCGGCGTACTCATTAAACCATTTTCCCATTTATTTTACAGAACGGAAGGGCTGCGGGGTGCGTGGGTAATTAGCATGAACGTGAGTAAAAACCCACGTGTTGATGTTTCGTGCTTTTGCCACTTTCATAGGTACAGGTGAGTGAAAAATGAATCCCGAGTACCATATCGTCATGTTCCTTCTTGAAACGCCGTTTTCACGGTGAACCGAGCTAGAACGTCGGTAAATTTTGCTAAATATCGAGCAGTCAAAACCGTTAATTCATTTAACTTCCATTGATAAGCGACAGAATCGTCAGTACTGCAAGTCTTTTAAATCAACTTGGTACGAAACATATAAATGGCTCTGCCGTAATATTTGACGACCCGGAATATAACGATTTAAATAATTTCATCCGAAGTGCAAAGTTACATGAAAGTTCCAAAGTACACATTAAAAATTTCATGGGCCTAAAACCTTTACAAAGGAACACAACAACTATTCCCGAATCCCACCAAGAAAGTGCTAGTTTGAACAAAATTTTAACTTGTAAAAACATTGTTGATTAAATGTGTTATGGGTGTTATTGTTAATATTATTATTATTATTAGGACCTACCACTGACCTGGAAATGACCGTTATTCGGGCAAGACTTCTATCATTACTAATTAGTAAGACCAAGTAATATGCATTAATCACATTAATTTAATTAATTTGATTATTAATATTATTATTAAGACCCACCACTGACCCGGAAATGACCGGCATTCAGGCAAGACTTCTATTATTATTATTAATGTTATTATTGTCAAACTTCTATCATCGCCTCACCACATCAGACAGTCACGAGCCGCCACTGTTTACTACATTATAATCAGAATTAAAAGCAGAAAGATTGTTGCTTGTAACAATTCATCTCAATTTTTACTATTAAAAATTATTTGCCCTTTTAAATTTAAATTTAAATCATTAGGTATCTTTAAGAAAACCTTTATCCACAAAAACACTTTGCGCTATTGTTGGGAACTGGAAATGATGGTTTGACTACATGAAATTTCATATTATCTGAATGACTATTAACATTTATTTCAAAATAACCTAGAGCCGGTAAAGTCCAGCAAAAGATAAATGCAAATGACTCCAATTATGAGTATTGCAGCTCTTAAAATCTCCAGTCGCTTTCGAAACTGTTCCCTGTGTAAAGTTGTCAATCAAAATTAGTCAGTACCCTTGTATACCTTGGACCGTATTTGTTCTCTAGAAAATGCATTTCTAATGCGTAATGGTTTTATTGCAGATTGCGATCTAAAATACTAAATACTCCTCACATTGACGGTATTTGCATTTATCTTTTGCTGGACTTTACAAGATTATTACTTATGCCCGCTAAAAATTTAGATTCATTATAAACAACAGTAGGGTCGACTACAGACTACTAAAAAATCATAAGGTCTTTCAAAAAATTCTCAATTAAACATAAATGATCATTTGTCAAGTTTGCGAAATATAACAACAATTGGCTTGATATTTTGAGCTGTGATGCTGAATTTGGACTTTGTGCTCTATTATTAAAATTTCTGGAATGAGAAATGCTAGAATTCTCATGGCTCTGTGATTTATTACTTCCCGAGCGTAAGCAAAGGAAGTATTGTAAACGAGTCCGTCGGCCGAGTCTCTACTTTTGCATTTTCTCGACTTATCATGACCCCTAGAGGACGAAGAAATAGGTGTCCTGTTTCCGTCTGTCTGTCCGTCTGTCTGTTTGTCCGTCTGTCCGTCTGTCCGTCCGTCTGTCTGTCTGTCCGTCTGTCCGTCCGTCTGTCTGCTGTCCCGGATTTTTATTAGACAGATAATTTCCGAAAGCACTGGGCCGATTGTTGCCAAATTTTGTAATTATATTAGATATATCATGTAGATGGTAAAACGCTAATTTGTCTAATCATCCCCACCACTAATGTGATGACGTCACTTCAAAATTGTACATAGTAATTGGGTTTTAAATTGTATAAAATATCATAGTCTCACACATGTAGTTTACGACTCTGAATTGAGATTTTACCCGAAACGTCCAGATTTTTGGAAAAAAAATCAAAATTATAAAACAACATTTTGCAATTTGTAACGGAACTTAGTTTTGATTAAAAAAGAAGAGTGGGCTGATTAGAAAAAGGGTTGACAGATAGAAAATACAGATTTAGATCCGGTTTGAATGACACTGCAGTGTTCGTATATATAGACGACATCTTGGTACTTTCAGAAACCTTCGAGAAGCACATAATAGACTTACAAACAGCGTTTCGCTTTTTGGTCTTCGTGGTAGACGTGAGAAGTGCTCGTTCTTCTGTGACTCGGTCAAATTTCTCAGACATATACTGACCAGTAATGGAATTAAAACTAACCCTGACAAAATAGCTGCTATCAAACTGTTGAGACCTCCAAGCAATCGCAAACAGCTGCAAAGTTTCATTCAGACATGTGGTTGGTATCGCAAGTTTGTTTCAGAGTTTTCCGAAATTGCACGTCCCTTAACTAATCTTCTTAAGAAAAATGCGTCTTTCCAGTTTGGTGAAGCCGAATTAAGAGCCTTCGAGACGTTAAAAGAAAGATTGACTACCGCTCCAGTCCTTGCTCAAGCCGGCCAGACCAAGCCGTATGTCC